CCCGCCCACAAAGCAGAACCAACAGGCAGATCCTGGGGCGCAGTGGAGCCCGAGTGTCTCTTTTATCAAAACAACCAGTCAGAAAACCCAAGTGATGGAGATGCAGGTAGCCTAGCATCCTAGGCCTCAGCAGCCTCAACAGCTTCCACCCACTCCTCACGGGGCAGCCTTGGGCTCCGAGTGCCTGCCTCCTGGCCAGGAATGGCCCTGTCTTCTCCGTCCGTGTCCCTCTGCCAGCTGCTGCCAGTGGGGGTCCGGGAAGGTCTGCTGTCCAGGTGACCTCCTGGGACCCCCAGTGGGCTGGAGAATGGACTCAGCTGAGCCCAGCTGGGGTCAGGGCAGGAATTCCTCAGAGCTTAACCAACTCCCACCCTCGGCGGCAAGGAGCATCCTGAGATGTGGACCTGACACATCAAACACAGAGCATTAGAATTGCTACGCGAAAGTCTGCTCTTCCAGGTCAGGGCTCGGATCCACCCCTGAGCCTGCTAAGGGGTCACCTCCCTGCCTGGCTCTTGCTGGGCTCCTTGGGGTGAAGCCAGCTCCCTCGCCAACTCTGGGCCTTTTGTGACCCACCTCTGTGCCCTGAGGAGCCCCTCACCACCTGCCTGGGAACACCCAGTTCCCCAGGGCTGAGCCACCCCTGTCTGCAAAATAGTGCCCAGCAGCCTCCTCGCAGTTCCCAAATCTGGGTGATTTGATCAACCCCAATTTTGTACACAGAGATGCCTGAAAACTGATTTAGCAGAGCAATCCCTCCGCCCCTGCAGGGTTGAAGCTTGGCTCACACCTGGGTTAGGCAGCAAGCAGAGCCATCGCAGCTCAGAAGGCTACACCTGGGCTGGTTCTGGGGGGTGTCCCCGAGGGCAGCAGGAAGGGCTGGCTCACCCGAGACTCAGCTGTGTTCCTCAGCTTTCTGTCGGGGACTTTGTGGCAGGAGCACGTGGTGAAAGCTGCTCACCTCATAGTGGCAGAAAGCAGAGGGGAGAGAGGAGGGAGGAGACTGGGGTCCTGATGTTCCCTCAGAGCTCGGGGCGCGATGACCGCGCTGCCTTCCACTGGACCTCGCCCCTGAAGCCTCACCATCTCCCACCAGTGCCTCGGGCACGGGGGATATTTAAGATTGAAGCCGAAACGCGAGGTACATCCCTCCCGGAGCAAGGACAGTGCTCGGAACGCAGGCACGGCTTTGAGTTTGAAAGGATAGAGTAGCCTGCTTTGAAAACTTCTTAAGAGATCGGCCCCTCCGGGGACTCCCTCACACCCGGGGCACCTGGGGTGTATGGGTCGCCAGAGTTGCACCCTGCGACCTCTTCTGGTCACCTCTCGCCTCCTGCCCAGAGTCCTGCAATGCGCCCCAAACAGCAGGCGTGGGGCAAGCGGCAGTGTCCACGCGGCTCGGACTCTCTCCCCATCGATCTCGGGGTCCCGCCCTCGCGGAGCCCTCTCTCCGCCTGCAGGCCCGGCTCATTAGCATTCGGCCAGGGCCGCCCGGACCTGCTGCGGGACTGCGGGCCAGGACTGCGGCCGCCCTCCCAGGCGATCTAAATGTTGGTAGATTGAAATCCTCAACAACTCTTGTCTGCTAGCAAGAGGTGTGAATCACCTCTGAGAAACCTATTATGGTCCTGTAATAACATCCTGAGTCCCGAGCCCCGAATCAAATCAACCCACACGCAGCCTTGCCGCTCTCCTCTGATTCCTTTGTCAACCGAGCAAGCTCAGGCGCGCCCCCTGCAGGCCGAGCGGGTTGCCGAGCAAGGCTGGTGATTTGAATGCTACAAATGGGTATTTTTTTTTTTTTTCTTTATCTTCAAATACTTCCTTCCGGGCCAGGCGTGGTGTGTCACGCCTGTAGTCCCAGCAAAACCAAAGTCCAAACCCCCCCAAAACAAAAAATTAACCAACCAACCAAACAAACAAACAAAACCCCAAACAACGACAACAACAACCAACTTCCCTTGGCCACTCTCACTCCCTTAAATTCCTTATTCTTCCAGTTCCTCTCAGCAACCCCCCTGGCTTTCTAATCACTTGCTGTTATTATAAAGTCTAGCATGCTCCAGTGTACAATTCCACTTTCATGTATGGAGTTCACTTGCTCTCTGAGACCCAATATAGTTGGCATAGGGCAAGGTACAGCCTTCCCCAGAAAACGGCCCGGGGTAAATCCGGGTGTCCTGGCATTCTGCAGCGAGCATGGGTCTCTGGTTGAAAAGCCCAGTCCAGAAATGCATGGGTGTGCTACTTTGTGGAATCAACTCCACCTCTCTGATCCACAACCTGGCCCTCTGTCAAAGCGGGGACGTTTTGTTTGCTGTGGGGAGGGTTGCTGTAGTCCTCTTCCAGGCTGCACCTCTTACCACCCTGGGGTCTCCACAAATCCTGTGGCTTCCTGGAGCCTCAGATTCGCCTTCTGGTAAGGAGGGACAGGAGCTTTCCTGTCTCCTGCTGTTGTGAGCACCCTGAGCAGTGCTGAGGGTCCAGTGGGAACCATGGCAATGCCACCTCTTTCTGTCACAAAGACTGGACCTCTGCCCACAAGGGTTTCAGGGAGCCCCTAATAAATAGCCAGCCACTGGGGATGCACAGACAAAGGCCCTGGCCCCAGGCTGGCTAGGGAGGGAACTGAGAAGATCAAGGAGCACTATCTCTTAGTAATGGAAAACGGCAATTCAGTTACCCCTGGTCTGCCCTGAGGCCACCCTTGAATAAGTCCTTCTGAGCCTCATGGGGCCAATCTAATCCCTGTGCACATCAGCGAGTCAGCCTGAGCCTAACCACGCTGTCCCCGAGTTCTGCATTTCCCTGTGGAGTTGAGCCCATGCCAGACCTTTAAAAACGACCTTTTCCAGGATACCTTTTAGCAAATGGTTATTGATTCCTTAAAGTCCAGGGAGACAGTGGTGGAAAGATGATATTCAGACTGTGGAATTCAACCCTTCTGCATATTCCCGGCTCAGTGCCAGGGCTGGGGACACAGGAAGGTACGGCCAGCATCAGAGTGTCTCTGCCTCAGAGCTCTGACGTCTGGAGAGAAAGGAATGTCTACATCTGCCTTTGCTGGCTGAGTTTACCGCAGGGCACACTTTAACTTGTGTCCCCATTAGACACGCACTGGAAGTGGGGACCCCACCACCGCACTGTGTGCACCAGGGTGGTAATGAAACTGCTTCCCCTTTGTGCCAAGTGAGTGTGTAATTTCCAGCTCCATGGAGGAAGGAAGAAGGAAGACCGGATGTGAAGTGTGAGGCATCCGACTCCATTCAGAGAGTGCATGTTGCAGGCTGCCGGGCAAGAGAATGAGACTCCTTCCCCAGGGCCTTGCCATTCGCCATTCGTTTCTTTGCAAACACCGATTAGGACCCAGTCAAGAGAAAAACACAGTAAATCTCACTCTAGGCCAAATGGGAGGGTTGCCATCAAGACATAAAAACACACTCCAGTGCAGCTTTTCGAGGTGAGCTATTCCTGGCATCAGTGGAATGAAAAAGCCTCCTGGGAGGTGACTGAGGCTAAGGGTGAAAAAGGCCCCAACGGAAATTGAATCAAGGACAAATCTCACAACGCAGGTTTTGCTTCAGCAGCACAATTCCTCCACCTCTGAACATCAGATTGGGAAATGATTTGGGGAGGTACCATGTGCCCTGTGCGGGGGGACAGTGCAACATTGCTCATGTGATATAAATTCTTGGTGTAGGGAAAGGGACACGTGAGACACAGTTCCCACCAGGGCTGTACAAGTGGTCCCACCGAGCATGTGTGGTTACCATAGATGCCTTTACCTCGGTGGCCTTTCCCTGCTGTCAAGACAGTCTCTCAAGGACTTTCACCATGTGACCATCTCCTCTGTCCCCACGAAGTCACTTCTGCATCTTAGTCCATCAAGTTAGAAACCAACTATGGCATCTTTCTGCAGCTCAGCTGACTTTTCTGCCCTGGCTCACACCAGCCTCTGAATGATGGCCTGGAGTGCTGTGTCTACGTGCAAGGCCTCATCCTCAGCTGATCCCATCCACCTTCAATCACCGCCATTCTCCTGATCCTGCAGTGACCAGGGTGGCATGAATTGGGCATTGCTGAAGTTTCTTCATCTCTGACACACTGCAGCAGCCCACACAGAGGGGCTCCCTTGCTTGAGTTTCTTTCTTTTCCGGGCTTCACAGTTTCCTGACTTCTCTTCCCTCACTCTTGGCTCCTTTCTCCTGCTCTGCATGGCTGCTTCCCTGTGTGGTTCTGGGGTGAGGGTCCCCTGTGCTCAGTCCTGGGTCCCTTCTCTGCCTGACACCTCAGGGGAGTCCATTCTGTCCCGTCCCATGATGCTACATCTTCTGCATGCCAAGAGACCTCACTCCATTTCCTGTCCTTCAGTCTCCTTGAACTTTAGACACAGCACTCAAAGGCAGCAATGACAGCTGCACGGGGGATCTGATGGCACCTCACCTCTAAGTCCCAAACAGAGCCCTCAATGTCGCTGCCACCCCCAGCCAGCTCCTCCTCCATCCTTTCCTGTGCAGCCAAGAGTCATTCTTGGTTCCTCCCCCATGCACCTCTCTGTTGAATCCACCTTCAAAGTGTCTTCCAGGGAGCCGCCCCCTGGGCCCTCCTCCAGCTCCCAGCTCTGAGTCCCTGCTCTTCGCCCCTGGATGCTGATGCACTCCCCCACCCTTCTGCCCGTTTCCACTCTTGGTTCCTCTGTCATCAAATCTGCACTCAGCACCCACAGTGACCTTTAAAAAATATAAGTCCAAAATTATATATATATAAATCTGTCAGCAGGGTGTGGTGGCACACACCTGTAATCCCAACAGTCTTGGGGGCTGAGGCAGGAGGATGGCAAGTTCTTGCCCAATTTGAGATCCAGTTTAAAAATATATAAAAAAGGGCGGGGGATGTAGCTCAGTGCAAAGGCCCTACCGATCCCCAGTATTGCCAAAAAGAAATCAGAGCCTGCCGACTCCTTCTCCTCATTTATGACTCACATGGTTTATATTTAGATGCCCCCGAAGAGCCCCATTCTCTCATAGATGGGGCTTTTGGAAGGTGGCTGGATCATGGGGTCCTATAGCCCAGTGTGCTGCTAGGAGGTGGGGCCTGGCTGGAAGACAAAACCCACAAGGTGTTATAAATGACGCATGTGAAACCACTCGCTGGAGACAGGCTGTTGTGAGGAAAAGAAAAGTTTATTCCAGTGAGCAGAGACTAAAATCAGGGACTAAAATCAGGGAGAGATTCTGGCTGCTAGCTGCAAAAAGCCGAGTTTGTTACATCCGTGTGTGGAGGGGCTGACATTGGGAGTGAGACAGCAGCAGCTAGCTGGGAGAGGTTTCATCTGTCAGTGGCTGGGCTAACACCAGGAGAGAGATATCAGCAGCTGACTGGGAAAGGAATTAGGCTTATGTAGGTATTGAAGGGGCTAAGGAATCTGGGGTGAAATGTTTACGATCGAGTCCAAGGACAGTCAGCACAGGTGTGTAGACAATCACTGGAGTTTTCCTGCCCTGGGGAGATGTCTTCAGTTTTCTGAGAAATAGCCTGTCGTTTGCTGAAAGTGGCCTGTTTGCTTTTGTCCTCTTTGTGAAGGACTCACAGGTCAGCCATGACACAAGGGGCGTGGCCTGGGAGGCTGCATTGCCCAACCTGGCTCCTCCCTTCTTGCTCTGCTTCCTGAGAGCCATGAGGTGAGCAGATTTCCTCCACCCAGGTGCTTGCTCCAAGCCCCCGGCTATGCATGGACTAAAGCTCTTGTGAGCCACAATGAACTTCTCCTCCTGTAAGTTGTGGGTATCGGGTATTTTGTCAAAGAAAGGGCCTAAGACCATGGCCTTCCCGTGGCTTCCCACCCCTCCTGAGTATGCTTCGAGCCCCTTTCCCTGGTGGACAAGCCCAGCCTTGTCTCTGGGGTGTAGTCACCCCCCCCCCCCCGTCTTTCTGGGTGCCCCAGGCCAGCTTCCGCTCTTCCTCCCACCTGCACAGCTCTCTCCCCTTCCCCTGGCCTCTGTCCTGTCTCCCTCTGGCCTGGAACACCCTCAGGGCTCCTCCTTCCCCTCAGGGTGCTCCCACATCGCTGCATTTTGACTTTCTGCCTTTCTGTATAACCATCACCACCCTCTGCTATCTTCCTTTTCCCTCTTTGTCTGCCCACCTGTCTCTCTCCAGCAGCATAGCTGCCAGGTGAACACCTGCTTGCCAGTTGGTCACAGTTAAATCTCAGCCTCTTGGATGGTGCCTGCTCGGCCTGCAGTGGACACTCTGAGGCTCCTGTCAGGTGGGTGTTGAGCGGAGTGCTGAGAACAGCGAAGCGGGTGGGTTGTGGGGTTCAAGTGCAGCTCTGACCCGGGCCAGGGGACAGAGAGGAAGCCTGGGGCCAGTTTTTCTAGTCTGCTATGTGGAGGGGGCTGGCAAAGCTCCCAGGTGTCCCCAAGCTGAGGCCAGTATCGGAAGAGCCCTGTGTCCCAGGGACAGTGGCCTGCCTTAGTGTCCACACTGGGGGAGCCGTCCGTGGGGCAGCGGCCATAGCAACGCGGCCTCAATGGGCACACGTGGCGCGTGGATTTCAGGTCACAGCATCTGGGTCCTCAGTTAGAAGACAGAGGCGCCTTCTCCTGCCTGTTCACCCCCCAGCTGGCTGCAGATCCACGAGAGAGATCAGCCCAGCCCGGGAGTCCAGAGGGGCTGTCCGGCCACCTCGGAGTTGGAGCTGACCGTGGTGAGTGAAGGTGCCGGCTGGAACCTCTCCGTGACTGCCAAAGGACAGATCCCGGCGGAGCGAAGGGATCGCTGCATGTCTAGGAAGCACTTAATCCACACTGCTGATCGTGCTCCAGAAAGGCTGTGTCCGTCAGCGTCTCTGGGGCAGAATGTGAGACCACTCAGGGCTCCGTCCTCTCCAACTCTGGGTGTTATTCTACCAGGTATCTACCAGTTTGATATGTGAAGAATAGCACATTGTTTTGGTTTGGTATGTTTTTATAGTTATCAGTTGTTGGTGAGGACTGGCTTCTTATTTATTTATTTATGTATGTATCTTTTTTGAGACTCGCTGTGCAGTTAGTTCAGCCTGGCCTTGAACTCGCAGCCGTCCTCCTGGCTCAGCCTTCTGAGTGCTGGGATTACAGGCGTGCGCCACTGTACTGGGCGATTCTTATCCTTTAAAAACCCCAAATCAGAGGAAGAATTCCTGCCTCTTGTGTCCTTGTTTCTCTTTTGGGGACATGAGAAGCCCAGAAGCCTGAAAGTACTGGCCCGTGGTCTTGACAGCTAGCAAAGCAGCCCCTTCATTTCTGCGGCAGTTACCGGCCGATGATCTCCCTAATGCGCTCCTTCGGTGCTGCCCCGGTCACCCCGGCTGGAGCTCTGCCTAATGATATTTTTATAGCCGGGTGCTGTGCGGCCTCATTAGGCCCCAGTGAAGGCCACGTGTTGTTCTGTGCGCTGAGGACGGTGGGGACTCCGCTCGTCAGCCAGGCGAGTGCGTGGCGGGGCGGCTGTGCCCGAGCAGAGGACTGTGTGTCAGAAGGCGACCAGGAGCTCCCCGGTGCCCTTGCAGCTGAAGGAACCGAAGCCCAGAGAATGACAGTCCCTGGCTGGGGGACCCACACGCGGCCAGGGGTGGTGCGCTGTGCCAGGAGTGTGTAGACCCCGCGGGGTTTCGAGGCTCATAGTACAAAGATAGGAAGAATGTATAATATTCGTATTTTTAAAATATCCATTGATGTTGAAATTCTATTCCGGATGTGTTGGGTTAAACGAACATAATATTAAAATGAATCTTGTTTTTTCTTTTTTTTAGGCACTAGAAAAAATGTAAGGATGCGTGCAGGTTTTACTGTATTTCAGCTGGATGGTGCTGGGCTAAGTCCTCATAAGGAGTCTTCGGCTGTGGGAGGCTTGTGCGTGTGTGCGTGTACATATGAGCATGTGTTCGTGTGTGTGTATGTTTATGTGTGAGATGAAGTTGTGAATGTGTCTGTGAGTGCACGTACATAGATAGGTATATGCGTATGTGTGCCTGACGTGTGTGTGGGGTGTGTTCCTGAGCGTATGCGTGATGTGTGCATATGTGAAGGTGTATGGTGTGGGTGTGTATGGGCAGACAGCCCTGCTGGGCTACATGGACCAGATTCGGAGAGGTCTGATCCCGTCCTGGGGCGCCGCGGTGCCTGCCGTGTGCCAGGCCTGCTGCACGGGGTCTCCCCACTTCTGCAGGAAGCTCTGTCCCGCCTCACAGGCTCAGAGGGGCTGAGTGAGTCCAGAAGGTCGCACACGCAGAGGCGAAGGGAACAGGATGTGGTGGGGTCCACGCCACTGTCCCTGCAGGCCAGGCCACCCAGCTGAGATCTCAGCAGCTGCACCTCCCTGTGCTCACAGGCAGCCAGGACGGGGCATTGAGAGGGGTGATGGTAAAAGCGACTCTCTTGGTTGTGGTGGCCTTGGTGCTGGGCCACGGCACATGCAGCCAGAGCTCACGCTTGGCCACACAGCTCAAGAAATGAAGAAACGACAAAGTTATGCTTGGCTTTTTTTTTCAACATGTGCAAATAAAAACTTGTATTTTGTTGTTGTTTCAGTGCTGGGAATGAACCAAGGGCTTTGCACATGCAAGGTATGTGTTCTGCCTCTGAGCTACACCCCAGCCCACTATTTATCTGTTAGAGGAGAAACCCTGTTGTCCACGGCTAGGATGTTGGCCCTCTTTATCAGGCCTGTGACCTATGTCATGGTGTCCCTGCCTGGCCATGCTGGGGGGAGTAGGTGAAGCTGTGACTTTGTAAAATGCAGAGCCCCCCCACCCCAGCAGGGCATGACGAGTCACTGTCTGATGCCTGCTTTCTGCACATGCTCTCTCGCTATGTTTTGTTCTGTGCCGATCCTCATGGCAGAGTCTAAAAGCTGCATGTGTGCTTATTGTCACCCTGTAAGCTAGCCACCATTGCAGGCTGACTTCCTTGTCTCAGTAGCCTGAGGGCCTGGTCCATTTGGGCTGCTGTAGCAAAACACTGTAGAGTGGGTAACTCAAAAGGAGAAACAGATTGCTCATAATTACAGAGGTCACAAAGTTCAAGATCAAGGTGCTGACCAATGTGGGAGAGCGTTCCAGCTGCTACCCTGTTGCTGCAGCCTCGGCGGGGGAAGCCCACCTGGCATCTCTGAAAGGCCACTGAGTCCATTCAGAGGGTGGAGCCCCACCTCCTAGTACCACCACACCGAGTGTTAGATTCCAGTGTGGGAATCTGGGGACACCACCATTCAGACCATGGCACCTAGTGAAAGGAGAAGTTTGTCCTTCATCCTCAAGACGCCCCCGCTGGCATCTGGTCACCGGCCCTCTCCACCAGTGCTGCCTTCCAGGCCCAGGTCCTTTCCCCTGTAGCTCTGCCCACTGCTCCCATGGCAGGGAGGTTTTATGGTCCACGGTTCAGAGCTTCCTCCTGCATTTCAGGACTTGCTCAGACGAAACACAAGGGGTCTGGAAAGCACAGCCTTGCTGAGTGCCAGGAGGGAAGAAAATGGTCTTTGAGGACAGGACTCCTGCTTGGCCATACCAGCTGCAGCCATGGCAGGGACACCGTGAGCTGCTGCATGGATGTGACCTTCTCTGCCTGGGGTGTTGAGTGGTGACCACGTTCACTCACAGATTTGGGCCAAAAGAGGAGAACAGCTACCTGGCACTGGACACTAGGGTCGGGTGGGCCCCTGAGCCCTCAACTTCAAGTTCCCAGAGAGGTTGGTTGTCCGGGATGCACAGGAGCTGCTGCTCATGAGGCTGGGGTTCCTGGGAAAGCCACCGTGTCATCTTTGCTGCTAAACCCCAAGGTGTGGTCAAGGCTGGCACATAGTTAAGGGAAGAACTGAAGTCAGAATGTGCATGACAAACTAATCAGGTACAAACATTTCCCCCATTCATTAAATCTGCTCTCATCACTTGCTGTCCAAGTCTGTAACAACGATGATTTGGTTTCCCCTAGGCCCACTGAACTGGAATCTATGGTGTCAGGTGTAGCTGCAACTTCGTGTTTCACCGTCACCTGGAGGCTTGGACCAAGGGGAGCCTGTACCTCTGGGATTCACCGTGCCCACTGCTCCTGCTAGGAGGACAAAGGCAGAAAGGCCCGGGAACAACAAACAGGAGCTCAGATGGCCGGGGCTTTGCCTTTTCCGCTACCTTGATCCTGGCTTGGTGTCCACAAGTTCTCACTCTCCAAGACCGGGAGGATGCCAGGAACGGCCCTCAGTCCCGAGAACTCTGCCTGGGGTGCTGTGCCGTTGAAGGAGGCATTCTCGAACTCAGTAGATTCTATCCTGCTGGAACAGCGGTCAGCAAACTGTGATCCAAAGACTAAGCTCAGCCTGTCACTGGCTCTGTAAATTTTATCTGTCTCAGTACATGTTTGCAGTACGTGATGATACTCATCGTGGACTGTTGGCGTATGTGTATAACACAGCTGAATTCTTTCTCAATCCGCTTTTCCTTTCTTCCTTCCCTCCTCCATTTCTCGATCCCCTTCCCATTCACAAAATATTTATCTCCCCATTTCCTATCATCTGTCTCTTATTTTGCTCTTTAATTTATTTATACTCTGAGTTTCTCACAGAAGAGAAACCATATGTTATTTAAGCTTGTGTTTCTGGTTTATTTCACTTAACATTATTGTCTCAAGGTGCATCCATTTTCCTGCAAATGACTCACGTTTATCTTTTTAGCACATTTTCTTTATCCATTCATCTGTTGACGGACATATAGGCTGTTTCCAAGATTTGTCTATTATGAATTGTGCTGCTATAAACATGGGTATGCATGGATCACTGTAATATGATAACTTTAGCTCTTTCAGGAAGATACCTAGAAGGGAATAGGTGGGTTGAATGGAATTTCTAGTTTAAGGTTTCTTTGTTTTGTTTTGTTTTGTTTTTGGTACCAGGGGTAGAACTCAGGTCTTTGAGCTTGTGCAGTAGGTGGCGAAACCACTGAGCTAAATCCCCAGCCAAAAAGTATTTAATTTTTTTTTTTTGGTACCGGGGATTGAACTCAGGTCCTTATGCTTTTGAGGCAAGAGGCGGAAACACTGAGCTAAATCCCTGGCCCTAGTTTAAGCTTTTTGAAGAATCTCCATACTGATTACCATAGTGGTTGCACTAATTTACATTCCCACCAACAAGGTAAAGGTGTTCCTTTTCCCCTGCAGCCATGCCAGTATTTGTTATTATTTGATTTTTTGGTGATGGAATCTCAGTATTAATTTGCATTTTTCTCATGGCCAGAGATATTGAACATTTTTTCATGTATTTATTGGCCTTTTGTACTTCTAAAAAGTGTATTTGTTTCAGTTGCCCATTTTTTATTGGGTCTTTTATTTTGGGGGGGTTAATTTTTTTTGGAGTTCTTCATATATTCTAGATATTAGTCCTCTATGTCTGAGAGTAGTTGGAAAAACATTTTTCCTCTTCTATCTCTTTGCTCTGTTGGTTGTTTACTTTGCTAGAAGCTTTTAAATTTGATATGATCCCATTTGTTGATTCTTTTCTAACATAAACAGCTAAAAACTTTTTTTGGGGGGGCTACCAGGATCGAACTTGGGACCTTGCACTTGTGAGGCAGGTGTCGGAACCACTGAGCTAAATCCCTGGCCCTAAGAACTTTTTATTATCACTCATGATTCTGTGAATGGAACAGGTGGCCCTTCTGCTGCTCTCCTTGGGGGTCTGCCATGCAATTATAGTCAGGGATGTGACAGCTTGATGTCCAGGATGGCTTCCTGACCACTGTGGCACTTTCTCCGGGTGACTGGAAGGCTGGCTTCAGCTGGTGAGCATGGAGGGTTGGGATTTTCCACCTTGGGTCTCTCCCTTTCCATATCGTCTCTCCAGCAGCGTGGCTGATCTTAAACAGCAGCTTGGGGCAACACAAACCTTCCTAGAGCAAAGGCCAGAGCTGGCACTGTACCACTTCAACCTCCTTCTAAACCAACCAGTCACAGGCCCAGCATGCACTCCAGGGCAGGGGATGGATGTTGGCGTGGACAATGGGGGCTGTGGCCCAGGGGAGGGCACCCCGGAACTGGCGATGATGAGGATAGGGCTGCTGTATGGGTGGCTTAAAGGAAACCAATTTACACCTCACAGTTCCAGAGACAGAAGTTCAAGACCAAGGTGTCTGCGGGCGTGGTTCCTGCCCAGGGCTCAGAACAGCCCATTCCAACTCCTCCCCTTGGTTCATAGATGGTCGTCCTGTCCCGGGGTCTTCTTGTGTCATCCCCTGCCCCGTGCACCTCTGCCCAGATTTCCCTCTTTTTTTTTTTTTTTTCCTCGTATCAGGGATCGAACTCGGGACCTTGTGCTTGTGAGGCAGGCGGCAGAACCACTGAGCTAAATCCCCAGCCCCAGATTTCCCTCTTTTTACAAAGACGCTCACTATCCATTTGTCCATTCCTGAGGTTATTTCTCATGCAGGTGGGGCTGTCACCTGTGTTTGTGGTGTCCCCAACCCAAGAATGGTTCGTATACTTAAAATTGTGGCAAAATATGCATAACATAAAATTTACCATCTCAGCCCTGTGTCAGGGTACTGTTTATCAGCGTTAGGTAGACTCATATGCAGTCATGAAACTAATCTTCAGAGCTTTTTATTTTGAAAAACGGAAACACTATGTTCATTAAACAACCCTTCATTCCCCTTCCCCCAGCCCTGGGCAAACAAACACCCTTCTACTTTCTGGCTATGAATTTGACTACTCCAAGTCGCTCACGGAAGTGGAATCATGTAGGATTTGTCCTGCTGTTACTGGCTTGTCACTTAGCTCGATGTCCCCAAGACTCACTCATGTTGTAGTCTATGTCATGATTTCATTTCTTTTCATGGTGAATAATATTCCATTGCATGTGTATAGACATTTTCTTTATTCATCCATCTGGTGATCAGCACTGGGTGGGTTCCACCTCTTAGCTCTTGGGAATAACGCTGCGCTGAACACGAATGTAGAAATATCTCCCTGAGATCTCTTGCAATTCTTTTAGGCATACAGCCGTAATACCATTGTGGTGTATAGTCGTGGTTTGGTCCACAATGGACCACATATGTGACAGTGGTCTCATAAGATTTTAATGAAGCTGAAAAATCGCTATTGCCTAGTATTTTTGCTTTTCTGTTGCCTAATTTCCGTGTTTACATAAGCTAAAACGCGCAGACGCTTGCCATTGGATTACAAGTGCCACGTGTTGAACTAGGAGGAGCAGCAGCCGCACCGCAGAGCCCAGTGGGGAGGAGACCGCGCCACCTAGGGGTGGGAAAGTGCACAGCGACGAAGTCCCCCAGCAAGGCGTTCTCAGAAGGGGTAGCTGTCATTCAGGGACACATGGGTGTGTGCTGGGAAGTGGAATCATTAGATCCTATGGCTGTTCTAGTTTCAATTTTAAGGTAAGTGCCAAACTGTTTTCTACAGCAGTGGTATCATCGCACATTCGCACAACAGTACACAAGAGCTTCTATTTCTCCACGTCCTGGTCAACACAGGTTATTATTACTATTGTTATTTTTGTGCTGCTGGGATTTGAACCCAGGGTCTTCACATAGAGATACATCCCCAGCCCTTTTTCAGTTTTCTATTTTGAGACAAGGCTTTGCTAAGTCGCTAACTTGCCCGGGTTGGGCTTGAATTTGAGATCCCACTGCCTCAGCCTCCCAGAGTGCTGGGATTACAGGCCTGTGCCCTTGTACCTGGCTTTTTTTAAAAAAACTTTTTTGTTTTTGACAGTAGCCATCCTGATAGGTGTGAGTTGATATTTCGCTGTGGCTTTGATTTGTGCTTACTTAATTATTAGAGAGGTTGAGTATCTGTAAAATTTAGTATGTGATTGTCAAGTGTGGTGGCACACACCTGTAATCTCATACTCAGGAGGCTGAGGCAGGAGGATTGCTGTGAGCTTGAGGCCAGCCTGGGCTACATAGTGAGTTCAAGGCCAGCCTGAACCACAGAGTGTGAGACCCTGTCTCAAAAAAAATTAGTATATGATTGTGATGCATCATAATTATATTCATTTGAGAGAAATTGCTACATATATATTGCATCTTTATCATTTGTACTTCCCCCTTTTATGTGTTCATTTGCCATTTATCTTTCTTTTTGGAAAGTTATTGTTTAAAGTCCTTTGCCCATTTAAAAATTGAATTATTTGATGTTTTGTTTTTGTTGACATTTGGCTTTTTTGTTGTGGTGGTGATGCTGGGGGAGAGGTTTTTGCATTGTTAAGTGAGTCAATATTTCATGACTTGTGATAATTATACTACTTTATTTGAAGGTCCACAAATAAAGTTTTATTGGGACATAGCCCCGCTTGTTTGTTTACATTTTACCTGTGCACTCTAAGGCCAGAGTTGAGTAGCTGCAACAGAGCCTGGAGATTTTGTAAAGCCTGAAGGTTTTCCTGTCTCATCTTTTATAGAAAAAGGTCTATAATTTCTAGGCACCCTGAGTAGAACGAAGGAAGTAGTGGCGAGACAGCCTGCAAAGCCCCCAGGAGAACGCGTCTCCTCTAGGGGGCAGAGGAGAGCCAGGCTGGAACCAATTCCACCCTGGTCGAAGCCCAGAATCGCAGACCTCACAGGGCCCCACTGGCAAAGGGTGTGCGGCTGAGCGGGGAGGAGCAGAGTCCCGCAGGCCTCCCTCCCCCCGTCTGCCTTCCTGCCTCTCCTCCCTGTGGGGGTCACACTAATACTCCTAGAGCGTGAGTCTGGTCCTCTCCCTGCTTAACACCCTTCTCGAGTCCCACGGCTCTCCTCAGAAACCAAGTTCAAGCTCCTTCCGCCTGGTGACCCTGTCTCTCTCTGCCTTTTTATTTTATTCTGGTTTAGTTTAGACAGGGCTTCACTGGGTTGCTAAGTCGCTGAGGCTGGGCTCCAACTTGTGACCCTTCTGCCTCAGCCTCCCAGAGAGCTGGGGACATAGGGGGCACCCCCACAATCAGCCAGCTGCACTTTTATGTCCAAATTTTTCCTTGCCTCCTGCTGCAGCAATACAGTACCACCTCCCTTGCCTCATGGGGCTTTGGGGCTCTCTGCTGGTGCCCCCTGGGGCTGCTCCCACTTTCAAGCCTCTCCTGCCTGCCTTGTTCACAGCCAGGCACACAGCTTCTCAGCCCTCTCTGGCTCCTTTCATTCTCAGTTTTACCCTCCCCTGGTTCCAAAGTTGCTGTCCTGGGTCCCAAAGGTAGGACAGGGTCAGGTTATCTGTGGGTCCCAACACCTATGAGAGGTCCCAGCGCCTGGCAGCCACTCAGCAGATGTTTGCTATGAATGAATGAATGAATGAATGAACGAACAAACATGAGATCTCATCAAAGGAGTGAGATCCCTTGGGTCCGAAAGCTGCTTGTTGATGTCCAGGTGCCCTTGTCCAGGTGTGGAAGGACTGGGGGAGAACAGACACTGGACACCTTCATCTGATCTAATGTGCAGCCCCTGAAGGTCTGTAGGCCTGAATTTGCCTGGAAGTGCCTCTCTGCTGCCCAGAAGTCACCTGGTCAACCCCTCCCTCTCTCTCTACACATCAGCCCCCCGGGGGTGGACTGGTT